CACCTCCAACGTGACTAATGCAGTCGTGTCTTAATTAGTCACTGCTCACGGACTGGACAAACGCCATCACAGCCCCATTTCAACAACTCAACTTGTGACAGGGTGGTGCAGATGAGACTAAAAGACCAAGACTTGCCGTTTTGGGGGTCCCTTCCCACGAGCACTGTGAACTGAGGTGGCTTCTGCCGAATGCACGTGTCATGCCAGGGCAACACTGTGGCAGCAGAGTCAACAGGGCCATAACCTTGGGACACATTTATTGGAGGGAGAGAGGAAAGGAGACATATGAATGGTGGTCTCAAAGATTCTTTCACAAGTTAGTGATTATCTTACAGACGCCTCCTGCAGCTCAGCTAAGGCCGAAGGGTCCATCCTGGATGCACCGGGCACCCTGCCCAGACCCTGCCCAGAGAGAGCTGGCTGAACCAGCAGGCCCGCCCAGCCCACAGGCAGACCATCCCCTGGCTCACTTATGACCCAGGACCCGCAGCCGCTGCTCTACAGAGACGACCAGGGCCAGTTCTCCTTCAGGGGCCTCCCACTCGGAACAGAGCTTACAGCTGAGAGGAGAGACTGGGGGCTGAATATAAAAGGTGGTGAAGAAAGGATGTCTCATCAACAGAAAAAGCTGGGCCTCAACGCTGAGAGCAGCACTGGGTTCCGAGAACTCTTCCTCTCGCGGCCCCACCCTCTTTTCCAAGCTCCCAGGGCCCTTTGCTCATGCAGCCTCACAGGTGCAACAACCAGAGCCCTTCAACTCTCCAGGAACCTACAGAAATGACTAAGATGGAAATAAAATTTACTGGTTGCAAAGTACACACAAACCTTCAAAACTGATGTTTAAATGTCTGCAGAACATAACATTGTGCCAATGAGCCAACAACCATTGTGCATTTAAATACCCACTCTGTCGATGTGTGACGCAGTGGTACTGTAACAGGCTCGACACAGCGAGGGCTCCAGGAGTGAGGTGCAGGAGCCTTCGGAGGCTGGGACGGAGCTCCGGGCACACTTACTCTGCTGAGGACCTGTTGTACGAAGGGAAAGACCTAACTCCCTCCATCTCACCTGATTTAAGCCACACTGCCCAGGAAGGGTGGAGAGATTACAGGTGAAGAATGGACTGCATTTTGGTATGGGGCACCCAGCAACTTCTGCTGCCTCTTCTGGAGGATAACAAGGAGGTTTTATAAGACTTCCTTCACTAGGTCCCTAAAGAAGGCTGAACTACATTAAGAAGCCCATTTTCCCATTTTAGTCTGATATACCTGGCAGTTCTGGTTAAAAATGAATGACACGAAATAATGAGACGTCTTACAGTAATTGGGGTCAGACTGATGATTCAAATCAATGAGTCTTCCTTCCCAAGTTCTTCAAATAAAACATCTTTTCTGCTACTCTTAAAAGTGAATTAGCAAATGAAATATTTACAGCACTGAGGACTAATTCTCCCAGGCACAGTAGCAATAGTAAAACAAATCATTTTTCATCTGGGTCTGATTGGCTCGAAGTCTCGGTTCCTTCCTGGAGACTCAGGGAATCGGAAGCAAATAAAGTGCTGTTTCGGAGTGGAATTCTTGTTTGGCTGTTCTTTCCAGTTCTCTGTGTTTCCTGTCTTCAAGACATTTCTAGGGGAAGCCTGGCAATTAGGCTTTGGCTTATCTTCTTTCTAAATCTGGTCTTTTCTGACCGGCTCCGCAGGCCTCCAGCCTCCCACAACCCTCCCAGAGCCACTGAGAACCTCGAGCAAGTAGCACCCTGAACCCCTGGGCAGCTCCTAGGAGTTCTCTACACAGAGCTCCCATGAGAGTTCCGCCCCCTCTGCCATCAGTGCCAAGGCTCACCCCTCTGCCCCTGGCCTGGCCTCCCCTAGGAGCAGGGGTGTGTGGGTGTGTAGGTGTGGGAAAGGGTTCCCCAGCTTCTTTCCCTTCTCTTGTCCCCACCTGGGCCTGCCCCGCTTTCAGTCATGGCTCATCAGAGACGATGGCAGGGATCGTGTCCTCCCTGCTTTACCCCTGTAGCTGAATTCTACGCATCCCAGAGGCCTCACGGCAGCATTCCAAGCTCCTACCTTCTGGGGCCCGAGCAGCATCTTACCCGAGCCCCTTCTCCTTCAGGTCCTGGATGCTCTCAGCTCCTCTTTCCTCAACATCCAAAGCTGCTTAGCAGAGTCCCTGAAGGGGTTATTTTACATCTCAGTGTGAAAGAGTCACTGAGTCCTTCTCTGGAGGCATGGAATTTCTAGTCTCCTCTCTCATTATGGAATAATAGCCTTTGACCTCAGGAAAGAAAATTCTAACACTGACTAAGACAGACATAAGGGCTGGCGATACCCTGGGTTCCCTAACAATCACACTGCCTGCGATCACATATGCGGCCGTGCTTTTGTAAGGCAGGGTCAGTCCTGAGCCACCGAAGAATGGCTGCTTCATTTAAAAGCATGACCAAGACAAGGGCCAGCAGACAGAGAAGATGGGAGAGAAAAGGGCAACAAGCAACAGGGAATTCTGCTTCCCGACAGAAGCGGGGAGCAGTGAATGCACCACCAGGCCTTTTGGTCCCAGACACGAGGCTCTGTCCCAGAGGCCAGGACACTGCCCTCTGTTGGGAACCACGGTCCAGTCACAGCAGTCAGTGCGGGACAAGTGCTCTGGGGAGCACTGGAAATGGCTCATGTACTCAGCTACTCACCTACCTTTCTTCAGAAATTTAAGAAAAAATGTTTTCCTTTTTGGGAAGAGGAGGGGTATGAAAGAACTGCAGATATAAGACAATAATTTACTGATTTTAAAATCAGGATATTGGCATGTATTTGGCAACATGACTACACTCAAGGCCAGAAAAAAGGCAGGAGAAAGTGTTCTGCTAGAGCGAGGCCGGGGAAGCGGCAGGGAGTGGGCAGCAGAAGCACGGCTGCTTGGAGACGGAGCCCGGCCACTGAGGAGCCCGCCCGCTGAGGAAGTGTGCAGAGGCTCAGCAGCACAGCAGCCCCTTCCAGAGGGCTCTGGCAGGCAGGTCTGTGCGGCTGAAGCAGCACAGAAAAAAAATACTGTTATTTTTACCACCAAAGACTTCTTCATATCATAAAAGGATGTGCTTTAGAGATTTGTTTCCATGGAGAAGTAACCTCACTATATTTTAAGTGGTACTCACAGGCCAAAATGTGATTCCCTCCAAAATCCTTTCTGGGTGAAGGCAGACTGCAGGGGGACGAGCGATGGGAGAGCAAGCACGCGCTGCCACGCTAGAGGGCAGAGCAGAAACCTTGCTGGTGCTGCAGCTGACCAGCGAGTCAGCGATGCCGCCCATGCAACAGCAGCTCCCTCCCTGGGGCACAGAGCAGACACCGTGGATGGGTGCACAGCTGATGAGGACATGGGCGTGCCAACCTCGGCTTGCCAAAAAAGCTGATCCCAGAACCCTGCCCTGAGAGACGCAGATTCTAAAGGTCCGGAGTGGGTCCCGGGAACCTTCTTTTATATTGAAGTCCAGGGGATTCCGAGGCAGGAAATTCAGGGACCATACTATAGGTCTGAAGTCAAGTGAGCACAAGGTGAGTGACTAGGTCCTAGAGGATGGCATTGGGGGGCCAGTGGCAGCACAGAAGGAGCTTCCAAAGGCTAAAGACCCATCTCTACACACTCAAGAGACAAAAAAAAGGTACACAGGAGGGAGGGCTGCCTTCTCCCTGTGCCACCTATCCTACCCCTCGGGACAACCAGCTCTTCCGAGCTAGCCTGACCCTGCCTTACTTACAAAGGCATGATCAAGGCCGGGCTTTTAGAGGGCCTCTGATTCTCAGCAACAGCCTGCGTTTAGCTACTTCCCCCCCACCCCAGTTAGTCAAAGCATTCTCCCCTTGAATAGGCAAATGGTGCGGAGGCGACTGGGCCCTAATCTCGGTGTGCTGCTGGGTCTTGATCCTTGGCCCCTTGGCTCTGGCTCAGGGCAGTGGATCTAAGTGCATGCATTTTGGCCAAAGCACTGTCTGGTACAAGTGAACCGGCCCAGCTGAACAGCCTGCTCTCTGAGTGTAAACATAGGACATATGGGGATGCCAGGGCTGGGTGATTACTATTATCATTCAGGATACAGTTTGTGCAGCTAGCTCCAAAGGTCAATCACATGCAAAAAAAATTACTACGTTAATGAATGAAAAATGCTTTGCTGGCTCAGAACAAAGCTTGGCGATCTCACCTGTTGGGTGCAAGGTGCAGAGAGGTGAGCTCTAAGCCTGGACTCCCACTGTGTCCTGGAAGACCAGACCCACAGCCTGCCACTCTCGTCCTGGGGCTGGACATCAGGTGTACTGACCATGCTGGAAGTAATGGGTCAGTGGGAGGGCCTTGTGAGACTTGCCACATATTAGAATTTATTTTATTCTGAGGAAAAAAAGATGCATCTGTTCAACTTCAGTTGGCATCTGTGCCTGTCCACATGGGAAGTGGACGTGGCCCACTTCCCGCTGCAAAGTAACATTTCCATCAGCGGACAAGGTAGCTCACACGGATCAGTTTCCTTCCAAACTCCCCTGTGCAGGTGCTCAGGCCAGGGGTCTTGAGCCAGCCTGCACCTGCTCCGGGAAGGCATGTGTCAGCCCAGGGAACACAGCAGTGAAGATGACATGTGACTCTGCCTCATTAACTTGGGGAAATGTGATCTGAAGGACTTCGAGTTTTCATTTCCCAGGCTTCTATTGAGTAACATTTTTCCTTCTCTAAAAACCCAGACCACGGGGCTGCCAAGGGAAAAGCCACAGCTCCAGGGTCACCTTCGTTCTTCTTTGGTGCCTAACATCAGCCTTCCCTCCTCCTTTCATAGTGTCAGTCAAATATTCCTCTGAAGGGGAAGACGGCTGCATCTCTTTTTTTTTTGTACCAGATGATTAACTATTAACATCCAAGGTAGAGGTTGTTGGAGTATGTAGCTCCTAAGGTCAATCATACCCAAAGGAATTACTATATTAATCAAAAGGGAAAATACTGATTAGAACAAAACAATGAAAAAAATAACTGTATGTATTTTAAAAGAGCTTTTGGTCTTCCCCTAAAAATGGAACTTCCCCTTCCCGACACAGATGTAAATGGACAGCAAATGTTTGGCCCAGCGGTTCTCTCCAATGCCCCACCTTCCGGGGTTGGTCTCAATCCTCTGCAGGGCTCTTCTGCCCAGGAAATGTGTTCTGCCCACAGCTAGTCCAGGTGCACAGGCATCAGTGAATCCCTCAGGTCACGTCATTTTGCCAGAAAGTCTGGACATGCCTAACTGAGTCCTAAGAAAGTGAATTAGCTTGGTCTCGGTGAAGAAGACTGTCCCGAGAGTCGCTCCCAAACAGAAGGCCCCCACAGCCACGTGCACCAGCCTGGCCAGCCAGCCTTGCTCACAGCAGAAGAACACCTGCAGAAAGAAACCACTGTCACTGCCCACCTTCCGCACCTCCTCCCTCTGGGACAAGCCAGGGAAAGCAGAGGCACTTTTGAGTCAGACAAAAGGTCTGACAACTATGTACTGAGGGTCTAATCTGTCCCCAAGGGTGACATGGTTTGGTAACAGCTACCACAAGATGATGTCCTCAAGGCTCAGGGGAAGGGATAAGAGGTGCCAGATACTTGTCCAGCTGCTTCAGGAAGAGCGGGAAGGGGAAGCCTAGAGCGAGGAACAGTGGACAGGTTATCAAAGCATGTAGTGTGATGGCTGAAGGGATTCTCACCTCTGAAATACCAGTAATCCCACCACTGAGGGCAAATGCTCCCAGGAGGACCGGCGACAGCTGCAGGCCAGCCAGAGGCCTGTAGGGGCTCTCACGGTAGTAGCGGTGGATGAAGCAAAGGCACTGTGTGATCCGAATGCCCATGTTAAAGCAGTTGGCCAAGATGAAGCCCACACTGCCACACCAATGGGTCAGGAGATAGGATAACACCAGGAATGAAAATGACAGGGCCAACATTGTGAAATTGTACCTGGGGAGAGGAAAACAAGCAAAGCAGGGCAGTGGGCAACTCGTCTGAAAACAGAACTCCTGCAAAAAAAGTGGCCATGATCACGAAATCATAGAAATCACTTGAGTTCCCATAATCCAGCTGGTTTTCATAACATTAAATGCTATATAGATAATAAGGAAATCTCATTGTCCTCCTCACCCCTGAATGGAAGAGTAAGAAAATGAGCAATTCAAGATATGGTTAGTTTAAGTGGCACTTTGTGATCAAAAACCATAAAACTCCTATTCAGCCCAAGTCTTGAATGTGAGGCATAAGAATAGGACACAGGTAATAATCATATACGAATGCTAACTCTGGCGGGCGCTGTGAGGGGTGCTGTGAATGAACACACATAGCCCTTGCCCCTTGGAGTTTAGGTTCATTTTGCAGACAAGGAAACCAGGCACACAGTCTGAGTAATCTGCCTAGGGAGTGAGCCAACACTCCAACCTGACCCCTGGCCCCTAAACCTTAGCACTGCACACTGTTTCCTTTGGGAAATGCAGAAGCTCTGTAACCTTGGCCAGTGGACGTCACTCAAGGCAAATAGCCAGCCTCCAAAAAGAAATGTAAATGGGGAGTGAGGCCTGGATTATATTCAAGGGTCCCCAGACTCTTACACGTCCTTCCTTCTCTCTCTGCGTCTCTAGAGCTCTCTGGAGTGGATTGCATGCTCCTTCCTTTTGCTTCTCTTATTTCAAAGCAGCACGTCACTTAGTTATCTTCAGTTTTCAGCAAAGAAAACTGAGTCTCAGCAAAGGTAAAAGAGCCACCATAATCCTCCAAAAAGCTTGTGGTACAGCATCTAGTTTCCACACAGTGCACAGCAAGCATTCTAAGTGTACAGTTGAGGGAACCAAACCCCTTAGGTGCCCTCAAAGTGTGTCTGCTGGTTGGGAAACCTCGGAGGCCGCTGGTCGGGTTTTGTCCATGAGGGTGGCAAGACAGCCACTGTGTCCACTGGATACTCAGGTACCAGTCCTCAGGCCGACTAAGCCCAAGGTGCTATGCAGATATACTTTATCAGAATGGGTGGTAAGAATACTTCCTGACATACATACATACACACACACAACTATACTCCAACAGGAAACATGTGCGCTTTCATCCAGAAAGGAATTTGTCTGTTTCTTAGTTGAGAGAGTCTCTTTTAATGAATGAGTAATGAACGTGCATGAGCCCATACCTTCACAGAGTAAGTTTCTCCATTACTAGTCAGTGATCAGAGTGGCTGACTTCATAACAAGTCATTGAGGGGGGACCCATCATAGACCAGTACTCTGAACTCTTTTACAAAAAGAAGCAGAAATGTGTAATCTTGGTTTTTTCCCCCAGAAAAACTGTATCAGAAAGATCTATGATACCCCCAATCCTTAGAGTTTAAGCCATAGGTTCATAAACTTTCAAAGTCATCCTCACCCAACTGCAAGTCAAATGGCCACAGTGAATGAACCCATCACTAATGCAAGGGATGAACTCAACAGTGCATCTGCTTTGGTGTGGGGGGAGCTGATCATGATGGGATCCACTGTTTTTCACTAGAATAGGACTCTGCACCTGTTGAAGTTTCTAGAACTAATATATAGTCTTAAAGGTATAAGCCAGGAAAAAATGAAGATTTCAAAGATGCAATTAAAATATCACTATTTAAATCAATGCCAAATTAATGACAATAATGACTATTCTCATTTAAACAGTAAATATTTATGAATGCTTAGTTTTCCATGGCCCTAAGACACTGAGCTTAACATCATGCTTATCAAAAGACAGAAGGTCAAGGATGTTGACTGCAGCGGCAACCAAAGCATCCCCCAGTGGGCGCTAGTTGAGTAAATCAAGGCGCAGCCATACAGTGCAGCCGGCGTGCACTGCAGCTTCTGCAGCTGTGAAAAAGACGGCGTCAGTCTATGTGCCACAGCGAGGAGACTGCACACGTCCTCCATTCAACAGCTGTCAAGTCCTACTCGGTGCTGAGCACTTGGGGCCAGGGTTGCAAAGGCCAAAGGAGCTGTCAGTCCTGGGCCTTTGCAACCCTGTCCCCTCTGCCTGGACAGCTCTGTGCCTCTCTGCATGGCAGACTCTTCTTGTTCATCCAGGCCTCGGCTTAAATGCCACCTCCTTGCATGGGCCTCCCAATCTAGAAAGGGCCCCACTCTCACTATATAACCCTGTTTCAGTTCTCTGTACAGCAAAGTATTTTCTTGTTTTTTATTTATTCACTATCTGCCTCTCCCACTGTCTGCTCCAGGAGAATAGGGATCTCGTCCATCTTGTTCATTGCTGTATTCCTGGAGCTTAAAACAGTATTTGTTAGAGAGTAGATGCTCAAAAAGCATTTGTCAAATGAACAAAAGAAAATGACATATCCTTAACAAAACAGAACAAAAATTCTTCAATAGGGCATAATGAAAAATTCATAAATCATATTCTATGTATTATGAGGTTATTAACAAAAAAGCAACTTACAATTCAAATGATGTTCTAATATTTAACATCCAACAAAATGCCTTGTTTTTGTTTATAAAAACACTGATCAGTCTGAAGTTGGTTAGGTAAAAGCCCATGTTTTGGCCCCAGCTGGTGTGGCTCAGTAGATTGAGTGCCAGTTTACGAACTGAAAGGTTGCTGATTCGACTCCTGGTTGGGGCACATGCCTAGGTTGTGGGCCACGTTCCCAGTTGGGGGTGTGCAAGAGGCAACCAATCGATGTTTCTCTCCCTTTCTCTCCTTCCTTCCACTTTCTCTAAAAATAAATAAATCTTTAAAAGCCCATAATTTTATCAATATTTTTTTCAATTCAGAATCCAAAAGGTCCAGTGTAAACCACTCACAACATTTAATTAAGCCACCCAATTCTATTGTACTACAAAAATCCTTACTAGAGCTCTGTCTGGTTAAGTTCCCAGAGATGAAAATATGCCAGGGGTCCGTGATGAGCTCAGGTGCTCCGTGTGTTCAGACCAGGGTCAGGGCCTACTGTGTTTAACACAAATCTGAAGACTCCGTCTAAAGCCACATTTTACTCTTAAGGAAAGTGAGCCACTTCAGATGAGAACTGCATTAGAAGGCACTCTGCTCTCTCTTCTCTCTGTTGACTACTAATAGCATAAAAATAATTTTCCAGATATTTATATACTTTTAAAATCTCATTACAACTAACTTAAGAGTTGTTTCTTTGGCTCAATGAATCATAAGAGGAAAAATAGCAACCAGCCACTGACCATATTCCCTCATGATTTGGTTGTAGGAGACTTTTGTTTAACATTTTAATCAGGAATAATGTTGATTCTTCCCCTTAACACTAATGCTAAAACTACTGTAGCAAAATTCCCTTCAAAGAGATAGATTCCTAGTCCAGAGCTCTTTCCACTATGCCTGAGTGCCTCTTTTAGTATGTTTTAAATTATATTTAAAAATTATTTCAGCCCTGGCTGGTGTGGCTTAGTGGACTGAGCACCAGCCTGCGAACTGAAAGGTCACTGGTTCGGTTCCCAGTCATGACACATGCCTGGACTGCAGGCCAGGTCCCAAGTTGGGGTGTGCGAGAGGCAACCGATAGATATATTTCTTGCACGCTGATGTTTCTGTCCCTCTCCTTCTCCCTCCCCTCCCTTCTCTCTAAAAGTAAATAAGTAAAATCTTTAAAAATTATTTCATATTAGAAGCACCTTTCAAATAAAAATAAAGTATTTTTCAAAATTAAACTTAAATAGACTTTTCTATCCATGAAAAAAAAAGAGGGGAAGGATGGATTCAAAGCTATTTAATGGCTATAACTAACTATCTGAAGTGAACATCGTGTTTAGACCACTATTTGAAAACTATGTGCGGTGACCCAGAAGCAGGCTGGAAAATCAACTTAGTGGGTTATGATATGGCAGTTTAAAAGTGAAACAACCGGCGGATTAAAAACCGCCAGTGTGTCCTGCACATACTTGGTATACCCACCACATTGTGAAAGCAGACAGTTTCAGTCATATCCACCTAAAAATATATGTTGGATCACAGCACTCAATGTCGTTTTTACTGTGAAAGCTGGTTTGGACCAGCAGTTCCTTAGGCCCTAGCTATCATCAGAAATCTCCTGAAGACGTGTAATGAGAGATTCCTTGGCCCAAGCCCCTACAATTCTAGTTCCACGGGTCTAGGAAGGGGCTAGAACTTCCTACAGGAATCTGAAGAGTCTGGTCAGGAACTGCTTTTCTGGACTCTAGTCCTAAACTATGGTGTAGCAAACAGTCACCAAGCTTCTCTGCGAGACAGTCCAACATGGAAAGAGGAGAGGCTGCTGGGAACGAGAGGAAGGGCTCCCCAACTCTTTGAACTATGCTTTTCCATCCCACCCCCACCTCTGGGCCTCTGAGGACCTCCTGCAGCACTCAGGGCAGTACAGAGGCAGCACAAACACCCCGAGGGACCCAGGCCCCAGGGGGCAGAGGGATAATGAGGACCACGCATCCTATTACCTATCACCACCCCTTCTACTCTCTCTTCTTCTCCCAGTCACTTTGATCTGTCTCTTTAAACTCATCCTGTAGTGTTATCTTAAGATATTGCCTTGCTAGTTTTGGCATCTGGACACAAGAAATGAATGATCTTGTGTGTGAGGTTCTTAATCAGCAGTTCATGTCAGAATTGCTGAGGAGCTTCTGAAAACACACACATGTGGTTAGGCGCCTGTGATTCTGTAGGTGTGGTGGGAGAGAGAGTGGTGGAAGTAGGTGGACAGGAATCTGCATTTCTAACAAGCTGTGTGAAGGATTCTGACTCATAACCAGGGTTAAGTACCTCTGCTTAAAGTTCCAGGGCAGAGGTCCTGATCTGGTATCAACAGATGGGAAAAAATTATGGTAAAACATGGATGTGTACTTGAGCTTTTCTCTGAGGAGAAATGTCACAGATCCCTGAGGTTCTTAAGGATCTATGAATCAGATTCTCAGGGGTAGGTCTCTTCTTGGACACACTCCTTGGTAACCCACTGGAGCACTGGGCAAGGAGGTGTTGGAGTGGAGCTTGTCTTGTGCCTGCCTCTGCAAACCTGGAGTAACATAACCCTTCCTGGCCCAGATTTCTTCCTCCACAAATGGTGCATGTGCAGTGGAGAGCCCGGGGAATGCACTGTACTCATGGGCTGGGTGCAACTTCTAAAAGAGCCTTCTATGAATGCATGCCCAGAATGATGAGAAAGAAGACTGGTGAGTTACTTCGCTTTGGCTATAAAGGCCATGATTAAAGATGTGTCTTTAAGGTTACCTACCTGTCGACTTGTTCTTTGCTCATGGCAGCAAATGTGAAGCACTCAGTTACCCCATTGACAGCCAGCAGGAGGACATAGAGACAATAGGAACGCAGCAGAACAGGACCTGTAAGGAAGCAACCCACTGAGATACCACAGCACAAACGGGAGGTCCACATCCACCCTCGGTTTGGCTGGGTGATCAGAGCAGGGTCGTGAGCCCTGCTGGTATCATCAACGGGCAAATGCATGCTCAAGCCTATAGTCTTAATTATCTGGAAGGACTCCTAGCATTCCACGGCACTGACTGAAATAAACAGCTAAAAACAAAAGGACAAGTATGAATAAGTGTACACATCTCTTGCTTAACAACTAAAAGCTTATCTGGCCAGCAAGCAAATCTAGCTTTTTATTTTTATTTTTTTATTATTATTTTTTTTTAGTTTCTTTTTAAAAAAATTTTTCAAGTACAGTTTTCTGTTTATTTCTCCCATCCCAGCCCATCCCTCCCCCATGTACCCCACCTCCCTCCCATTTCCACCCCCCTTAGTTATTGTCCCTTATACTTGTTCCTCTAAATCCCTCCCATTTTTTCCCCTTAAATTCCCTCCCTTCTCCCTAGCTTTTTAAATCAGCATGAAGAGGATGCTAGTTGGAGTACTCAAGGACACAAGTGGCCCTGCATGTTAAGAGAACCTCAGTTGAAAAAGTCCTGAAGAAAAGATCTTGAGGAGAAGTGCAAGTTCAGCAGCAGCAGGAAGCTATGGAGATAGAATATCCACAAATTTACAGGGAGAATCAGAGCCCACAGTGTTATTTTTTTCTAAAATGAAGTAATACAGTTTTATAGCTAAATAACAAGCTTCAAAAAAACCTGCTAACAAAAGATCAGAAGCCTTCAGAATGGATTGATTCCCTCTTTTAAGAGAGCCATTATCAAGAGACAGCCAAGAAATCAGTAATGTAATAAACATATATCCAAACCGTAACCCAGTAATTCCACTCCCAGGTGTACTGCGCATAGAAATAAAAGAATGAGTTCACAAAAACACTTGTACATAAATGTCCATAGCAATTTTATATAGAATAGCCCAAACTGGCATCAACAAAAGGATAAACAATCTGTGGGCCATCCATACAAAGAAATATTCAGCAATCAAAGAGAAAAAAAAACAAAAACTACTGAACCATGTAAAAATATGGATGAATCTCAAAAACTTTATACTGAAGGAAAGAAGAAAACCACATAATAAATAAAAATGAAAAAATAAAAAGAAACTAAATGCACAAACGTCCCTGTTGTGATATTTCATTCGCATAACATTCTTTCTTAAAACAACACTGATCTATGGAGACAGAAGTCAGAACAGAGGACTTCTGGCCAAGATGGAGGTAGATACACTTTGCCTCCTCACACGACCAAAATAAAGACAACAACAAATTTAAAAACAAAAGACGGCCAGAAAATCGGACTGCATAAAGTCCAACAACCAAGGAGTTAAAGAATTCACCAGACTGGTAGGAGGAGTGGAGACGAGCAGCCAGGGTGGAGAGGTCACATGGCAAGGTGGTGGCTGGAGGACTGGGCGGGCGAGATAGTGGCTGGCAGACTGGGCGGTCCCACACGTGTGGGCAGATAAAACAGAAAGAACAGCTGGGGATCAAGACAGACCATGCAATCCAGGGATCCAGTGTGAGGAAATGAAGCCTCAAAAGCTCTGGCTGTAAAGACCTGTTGGGGCTACAGTGGCAGGAAGAGAAACTCCCAGCTTCAAAGAAGAGTTCATTGGAGAAACCCCACAGGGTCCTAGAATGTACACAAACCCACCCACCCAGAAATCAGTACCAAAAAGGCAATTTGCTTGTGGGTAGCAGAGTGACTGAAAGCCAGCCAAGAGCAGAGAAAGTGGCATTGTTCCCTTTCTGACCCCTCCCCCAAAGATAGCACCACAACACAGAGATGTGGGTTGCCCTCTCCTGGCGAATACCTAAGGCTCCACCCCTTACTATGTAACAGGCACACCAAGACAGAAGAAATAGCCCAAATGCAAGAACAGATCAAAGCTCCAGAAAAAATATAAATAAGCAGTGAAGCAACAGCCAACCTATCAAATGCAGAGTTCAAAACACTGGTAATCAGGGTGCTCACAGAACTGGTTGAATATGGTTGCAAAATAGAGGAAAAAGTGAAGGCTATGCAAAGTGAAATAAAGAAAAACATACAGGGAACCAACAGTGACAGGAAGGAAAGTGGGACTCAAATCAATGGTCTGGACCAGAAGGAAGAAATAAGCATTTAACTAGAACAAAATGAAGAAACAAGAATTTGAAAAAGTGAGGAGAGGCTTACGAACCTCCGGGACAACTTCAAATGTTCCAATATCCGAATCATATGGGGTGCCAGACGAGAAGAGGAAGAGTAAGAAATGGAAACCTTACTTGAAAAAATAATGAAGGAGAATTTCTCCAATCTGGCAAAGGAAATAGACTTCCAGGAAGTCCAGGAAGCTCAGAGAGTCCCAAAGAAGTTGGACCCAAGGAAGCATACACCAAGGCACATCATAATTACATTACCCAAGATTAAAGATGAGGAGAGAATCTTAAAAGCAGCAAGAGAAAAGGAGACAGTTACCTACAAAAGTGTTCCCATAAGACTATCATCTGATTTTTCAAAAGAACCTTACAGGCAAGAAGGGGCTAGAAAGAAGTATTCCAAGTCATGAAAGGCAAGGGCAGATAAAGGAAGGAAGGGCAGATAAAGTGCTTCTTAGATAAGGTCAAGTTAAAGGAGTTCATCCTCATTGAGTCCTTATTGTATGAAATGTTAAAAGCACCTATCTAAGAAAAAGAAGATCAAAATGATGAACATTAAAATGACAATGAACTCACAACTATCAACAACTGAACCTAAAACAAAAACAAAAACAAATGAAGCAAACAACTGAAACAGGAACAGAATTACAGAAATGGAGATCACAGGGAGGGTTATCAGCAGGGAGGGGGAGGGAGGTGAATGGAGGTAGAGGTACAGGAAATAAGAAACATAAATGGTAGGTATAAAATAGACAGGGGAGGTTAAGAATAGTATGGGAAATGGAGAAGCCAAATAACTTATATGTACAACCCATGAACTTGAACTAAGGGTAGGGGGGAATGCTGGAGGGTGGGGGGATATAGGGCAGAGGGGAATGAAGGGGAGAAAAAAAATGGGAAAACTGTAACAGCATAATCCATAAAATATACTTAAGAAAAAAAAGAAGTCAGAACAGTGGTTACTTTGGAGGTGATGGCAGAGAGCTGGCTGGGAAGGGACCTGAGAGAACTTTATGGAGTAACAGAAATGTTCTATATGTTAATCTGAATGATGGTTACCTGGGTTTATACATTGGTCAAAATTCATCGAACTGTACTCTCAAAAGCACAGCATCTTATTTTATGTAAATCAGACCTCAATAAAGAAAAAACTTAACCATTAAACAAAAGGTGGGGCAGGGAGATTGACAATCCGGTGTCTTAGGATCTGGAATTCATGCATGGTTTATGAAGCTGTTTGATGTGAAGCACCTTTGTGACACAGGGATCCTAAACAGTTTTATGGCATCAAAATTTACCAAAGGAGTACCAACAGGCTGCCCTGATGCCCAACAAAAACTATCTTACATGGCCCTTTCTTATGTTCCTCACTTTATCATCATGTTGCATTTCATTCCCCAAACTGCTGCAGAAGGTAGCCCGGCCCCCACTGCCACTGAGTGACAGCTGCAGTCGAGGACGTGGGGGCCAGGGTCTGCCCTGGCGTGGCTCAAGGCCATGTACAGTGTGCTTCCGGCTTTTCTTCATCCTCTCCAAACAGGAGAGGGAAATGGGGCTCTTCTCATAACACACACCTCTCACTTGGTAACTGAAAGCTCACGAATATATCTACCTGAGGGCGGATAAGAACTGCTTTGCATTGTGGAGAACACAAACTCTTGCATGAAACACTGATTCAAGTGAAAGGGCTTTGAATCAATTTGGGGGAAAGAGGTCGAAAATGGGAAATTCCTGGACGGAACTTTAAACTATGGAACTTTAAACTTCTCAACTTGAATTGAGAAGTGTTTATAGGTTGAATTACATACCCCCCACCCTAAATACGTTGAAGTCCTATCATGTGGAAAATAGATAAGTTAAAGGTAAAATGGGATCATTAGGGTGGGCCTTAATCCATTATGACCAGTGTGCTTAGAAAAAGGGGGAAGTGGGACATAGATAGACACTCCCAGAGGTAAGAGGATGTGGACACAGGGAGGAGGCAGCAATGTGACTGGAGTAATGAATGTCTCTGTAAGTCAAGGACTGTTGATAAACTCTAGAAGCTAGAAGAGATAAGGAAGGATTCTTCCCCTGGAGCTGCAGCCAGCAGAGAAAGCCTGGCCTTGCTTAGAGCCTGATTTTGGACTTGACCTCCCAAAGTGTAAGACAATACATTTCTGTTGTTTTATCCGTCCAATTTGGGGTACACTGTTATTTCAACCCTAGGCAATTAATACAAGGGACTGAAAAAGAAAAACAGATTTTAAAAAGACAGAGCAAGAGAGAGAAGCACCTAAGAGATGAATGTGAGAAACGTCAGGGAAGTTCAGTGAATGTGTGTTTTTCTTGAGGACAGAAAAGCTAGGTATGAAAAAGAGTTCTGAGAAGAGTCACTAGAGCACTTACAAATCCCCTAAGTATATACATACAATCCTAACCCCAAACACCACACAGCAAAACCACAGCACCCCACATGAAAGCCTGTCTATGCGGTGTCCAGGTCCCACATTTGGAGATGGAAGCACAGGGGATGGAGAGTGTAAGAGGCCAATTCAGGTCACAGGTAAGTCCACCTCATGGGTGAAGACAGGTCAACCAGCAACTGGGGCAACTGAGGACAGCAGTGTTGCAAGGCCCACTTTCAAAACTGAGGTGGTTGGCTGAACCATGGAGAGGTGCTCTTCTTTTCTGATTAACTCAGGAAGACTTTCTGGAAATATTTAAGTGAGCAAAAGTGACTGGGGGTGGGGGAGCAGCAGTGTTAGTATTTTCTGGCACGGAAAAGGCATTCAGATACACAGCAGTGGTCCACAGTCAGGAGCACGGCGAGGAGATGAAGGGGGGTAGAGACAAAGGGAGGTAAGCCAGCAGGCACCCTGGGGAGAGACACTGGCCCCACCAGAAGCCACGACAGGCTTTACGGAGAGCTGAAGTTTGGTCTAAACGAGAGGTAGCTACAATGAGGAGACAACACTACAAGACCCTGCTGGGACAGGGACGCTGATACAGCCCTGAGCCAGGCAAGAGATGACGAGGATCCTGAAGATCCTCGGTGGCTCCGCACATCACGTGTTTGTTTCACAGACGAAGAACTGGACCATTCTCAAGACTCTACTCTCTCTGAAGATGACACTGAGAGAATATCTCTTTGAGTCTAAAGTTAATGTCCATGACATAAACCATTAGAGATGGAATTTATTGCCTTAAAAATCAACTAACACTGGTTCTTTTAATTGATAAATATATTGCCAATGTTCGAAACCAGCACCAGCATCTCACTTGAGTAAAAGGACTGCACAATTACAGTAATTTGTTCATATGTTTCCTACGAATAATGACTCCATCGGGTGAACATGATACTGATGGGACAGCCCTCTGCCCATGGCAATGTCCTGTGACTAGGTCCCATTAAAGGCTGCTCTTCGGTGATTACCTTTCTAAAGGGGCAGAGCTGCTGTGAAATAGCTGAGTCCCTGGCCTCTGCACACTAACTCATTAATGGCTTTCTACTGAGGCCTCCCTGCAGCTGCTGCATAGAAATGCACTTCTCAGAGCTCGAGCCCCAGGGAGCTGCAAACCCCACCACTGGTCACACAGCAGGTGTTTCTCCGAAAGGAATGACTTGTTCAAGGCCAGAAATTCAGGCCTTCTTTCCCTAATTCCAAAAGTTTGGGCTTATTATAGTGGGAACAAAAGCCTGCCAGTGAAAAACAGCAATTGACAAAGCTCTTTACATTGAGATAAGACGGCAGGAAGAAGTCTTCCAGGTTCTTATCTAGTGACCTGAGGAATGAAAACCACCTCTGCTAAACCCAAGATGTAACCCAGCAAATGGACTGCCAGCCTATGGCCCAGTGCATTTTGAAACTGGTGATGTCCCCAGGGCCCAGCAAGAGCTGTAAGAGGCTTAGAAGCCTGGGCATCAGGTGTTTCAAAGTTGGACACAGTCAATACTTTTCTCCTTCAAAAACCAAGTCACTGGATTATATACGTCATTTTATTTGCAAAGATCAATTTTATTCTCTGCAAATGGCTCTGGGTTATCTTTCAAAGGTTGTTATGCATCAGGCTGTGAGATTTATGTGGTATTTACCATGTTCAGATATGTTCAGTGCTGAGTGGAGGTTCATTACCGCCTGCTTGCGGCCTTCCTCCCTCACCCCAGGAGGAGCACAGAGGTGCTTGGCAGATCATAGTTTGGGCCTAAAAGGAAAGCCAGGGGTTCTTAACAACCTCAAGTAAGGCTGTGGAACTGACTGACCTGGTGCCAAAGCCCTCAGCTGCACCCTGAGCTGGTCTGACCTCCTGTGAGGGGAACAGTCCTCTGTACAGCCACAGCCATGCACCATTCTTGCTACATGACACAGATGTCAACCGTGTGTGCACAAGGCCTTCAATTTCATAAGACTCGCCTATTTCTGTTCAGAAATTAGAGCAAGTATGGCAACTCTTGTGCACACCTGATCCTGAGCTCAGCATGGCTCCTCCATAGATATCCAAAGCCAGCTGAGAGTAGGCAAAGCCAAAAACGGTGATGGTCAGGCCAGCCAGCAGGGCCAGCTTGAGCAGGGACTCCAAAACCGCAGCGGCCACAGCAACGTCCTCCTGGTGCCAGAGAGAAGGAAGGAAGTTGGATGAATCACGAGCTAAAGAAAAACTACCCACCTGACCTCCCCCTTTGCTGGTGTGCAGCTCACTCTTCCAGTCAGTGAGGGGCGTCCTTGCTTTTCTGCAGCCTGTGTTTGTTTCTGCCCGTTATCAAGTGGAGGAAAATCGTAAAGGTAACTCCTTCAGGAGGAGTTCAGGGAAGGTTTAATTTTTAACTCGCTTAGGATAAATTATTTCAAAGGTTGCTTAGGAAACGCTTTCCCCTCTGATATTTAATAGCAAATTTTTACAGTGCTAGGTAGCTTTGCCAGTGCCCTTCTCCTGACAAACATCTCCAAATCCTGAGGTTCCTGTGAATGTACTAAGGAAAATACTCCTAAATCAAATAGAATAAGATTAGCTCATTGTGAGACACTGTGCATAACCTATGTTTTGCAAAATGTCTTCTAAGACGTGTAAGAGGCCAGCTTAGCTTGCTTTTAATTCTAAAATAAGCCAGACATTTTCAGTGGTTTTAGAAAAAGGGAAGTTTATACAACCAAATACTCCTGGATTAAAAGCTCTTCTGTATTTACCGTCCTGAGTACACAGATTCTCACAGTCAGAATGTTGGTCTGGGCACCTCATAATCCTTAAAACGCTTAAACACCTGGCGTGGTGAGAAAACCCGAAGGGCCAAGTCTTTCCCTCCCAGGTTCTGTGTCAGCCTTGCCCCAGCCTCTGCAGCCTTTGGCTCACCTTCGGATCTTACACCCAAGACTGGAGCATGGGAGGCGGTCAAGACTCTACTGCAGACAGCCGTTAAGAGTTCTGAGAGGGCTGGGTCAAGACTACGGTCACAGAGGAGGACAAAGGGTGAGGGCCAACCATTGCGAGGGGAGAAGGCTCTGAAAGAAGTGAGCCATCATTCAGAGTGTGGAGAAAATGAAATCTAGACAAAAATTTCAGATCAGACAGAGGGGGAACAGACTGCTCCACATGCCTGTCTGTCGACTTAGCAATTAGAGAAGAATCATTTAAGACAGTGATGAAAGAACCAAGACTACCTGCTTCTGAAGTGTGGCGTCCTTTTCTCTCTCAAGCACCTTAGCGAAGAATATATAAAAACTTTCCTCTATCGGCTGGAAAATTAATCTGGCCACAAGGGAGCCAAGATTATTCACGATATCATATATACCTACAAAACAAAAGGGAGAAACAACAATCCTACTGGTTTTCCTCTTTGGATTTTCACAGTACTGTTCACTTGTTTTCTAATTTTCTTTTTTAAGTGAAATTTTTTGAGATAATGATAGTCACATATAGTTATAAGAAAAAACAGAGATCCAAGTACTCTTTACCCAGTTTCTCTGAATAGTGACATCTTGCAAAACTACAGCACAATGTCACAACTAGGATACTGACTTTGATGGTCAAGATACAGAACTCTTGTATCATGAGCATTTTTAAGTAAAAGCCACTAATACCAAGTTGATCTTTTCTATTTTTATTTCCCCTACTCTGAGGGGTAAAATAAATATAAAAAAATATTAAGACCTGTCTAGCCACACAAACATGGGGTGAATCTTTGTGACTGTGATGATGGGCTCCCTTTTCTCTTAACACCTCCCCCCCCACCAAAGTGAGCATTAGAGCTCGGCAGAGAGCAGGGTGAGGGGAGGGGATCTCAACAGAGAACCTGCCACCCAAGTCACATGAAAAGGGAGAATCAGCCCTGGCTGATGTGGCTCAGTGGATTGAGTGCTGGTCTGTGAGCTGAAAGGACACAAGTTTAATTCCCACTCAGAGCACCTGCCTGAGTTATGGGCCAGGTCCCAGGTTGAGGGGGTGTGAGAGGCAACTCATCAATGTATCTCTCACACATTGATGTTTCCCTCCCTCTCTTTCTCCCTCCCTTCTCCTTTCTTTAAAAAAAATAAATTTAGTCCTGGCTGGTGTAGCTTGGTGGATTGAGCGTGGGCCTGTGAACCACTGGGATCACGGTTCAATTCCCAGTCAGGGCACATGTCTGGGTTGCGGGCCAATTACCACAGGGGACGCACAAGAGGCAACCACACACTGATGTTTCTCTCCTTCCCTTCCCCTCTAAAGATGGATAAATAACATCTTATTTTAAATAAATAAATAAATAAATTTAAAAAATTATATTAAAAAAAGAAAAGGGAGAGTCAGTACACTGTATACATTTATAAAAGCCTACAATTTTCAATCTTCAGGATTCATGCTTTTTAATCTTCATGTTTTATAATCCTTAAGTTCATTTTCATTGAACATATCAAAATGCGAAGAAAAATATTAGAAAGTATCTACGGACAATATTCCTCTTTAATTAAAAAACATGACAGGCTTTCACCTTACCCTGATCGCCAAAATTTAAAACGTTCAAAAATGTCATCACATACCGCTCCCCTGCAAACAGAAAAGCAAAATAATTACCATTTGAAATGCACATCGTTCCCTCATTTCCTTTTCTCTGACCATCTATCAACTTTTCCTGTCCACAAATACTCTCAAAGGAGAAAAAATTAGATAATCAATTAAAGAAACACATTTTGTCCTAATGTTGATTTCAAATAACCTCAAAATAGTAAACATTTAGAAAGTGCTGGGAGACTTACTGACAGCAAATCTCCAAACCGGTTAAAAGTAAAACAAAACAAAATCCATAAAACAAGTCTAATAACATTTTTTTAAAGTATGGGGAATTACTAAAATATTAATAATGAAAGTAATTGTTCCAAGTTTTAAGGGAGGTCAGAAATATGAGTGAAGATTCTATAAAATGAAAGGTCAGTGGTGATGTGCACAGACTCATTAAAAGTTTCCTCTCTGGGTGTAGAAAGCTCCGTGGAGGTTGGCAAGGCTGTGGAGCCCAAGTTTATGATTCAAATCTAAGTCAAATGCCTTCAAGGTGAAGACACCAGCCCAGAGCTCTTCTCCCCATCCCCAATTTTTATGAATTTTCCTATTATCTGTGAGTGGAAAACACTAACCATTATGGAGATAGAGCACTGAAGAGTGCCCACAGCCACACAGGGCAAGTTCTCACTTCTTAGCAACTTGATGGGGGGAAAAAGGCAATACCTGAAGCAATTAGAAGCAGTGATCACCTCTCAGGTCTCTCTGACCCTTGCTTCCCTACAGTCTCCGAGCCACTGCATCTGCGGCAGGGACCTGGGTGGGTTCTACCAGGCACTGGACCCGCAGCTGTATTCGCTCCCATCTGCGTCTCTGTACGTCTCCAATCCATCCTCACTGCCAACAGTTCTATCTTTTACAAATCTAGCTCTTAGTTAACCTCTGCTTTCACACCTTTAAATGGCTCCTCAATGGTATTGAAAAGTCCAGGCTCCTTAATTATGCATGTGAAACCATTTATGAACTTACCCCCAAGCTATCTATTTGGCCTCCCTTCACCAACCTCATTCCGACCTCCCACCATCACGCGCTCACTCTCTGCCACACCCTCCTAGGTTTCGGTCCCTCCAGCTGCTCTGAGTCTCGCTAGCTCTTGGCGTCTCACCACCTAGAATGGCATCTCTGCAGGGAACTCCTGGTGTTCTGACACAATAGGCCTGTCCTTCCTGTACTCTGTAAGCTCCCTGAGGGCAGGAACCCTGTCTCAGTCATCTCTTTGACCCTGGATTCCTAGCAGAGTGCCAGGAAATGAGAGACTACTCAAGAGATGTCTGGTGAATGAGCTCACGTTTTCAAGTACAGTCCTCACAGCTCTGTATCAGAGTTAACCACACACAAAAATGTGTGTCTTTGATGAGAGAGTGAGCTCCTTGAGACTGTGGCCTGTTACTATTCATCTGTGTGTTCTCCGCACCTGGCACAGAGTGTTCAGGAAATGTGGGGGCAGAAGGTAACAGCACACACATTTTTGCTACTGCAATGAATGATTTCAACATTTTTAGAGCTGTGGTTTTTAGATAAAAAGAATCTGGGGATCCTTGTCAAGCCACTTCCTTACATCACAGCCATGGAGATGGAGGCCCTGAGAAGTTCCTGTCGGCCCCCTGCCTTGTCTGGCCAGGCCCCCCCCCCCCCGTCTGCGGCAAGCAAGCAAGCGATCAGTACCACTTTCCGGCCTGGCACACACATCTAGCCACGGAAATCCAGACAATTGATTTAGGGCCATTGTTTGGACTGGACCCATTCCTCAACTCATTTAAACCGCTCTTAAAACTTTGAAAGGAAAAAAGTACATATAAGCAAATGCCCTTTCTGAAACTCTAACAATCTGAGGTGAAGTATCACAAGACTACAATGGCACTACAGATACCTTTCCTTATCAGCACGTACTTGCTGAATACCTATCATGTGCCAGGCCCAGAAGGGTGCTGGGGAGACAGTGGTGACCAACACCCTCCCTGCTCTTAAGAAACTTGTAGTTAAGGGACCTCCACTCAGGTCTCCAAAGTTTCTGGCCCTGGCTTCCCCTAAAAGTCCTGCGAACGGTTTCAGTTTTGTAATGGCGATGTTGCAAGCTCAGGCTAAAACACGTACTCTCAAAGCTCAGGGAGCTCTCGGACACCTGCTGGTCCCCTCCCTGAACTCGGACAGGAAAACTGAGGTATAAGGGAAGTTACTTCCCTTTGGAAATCTAATTAGTAAAAAAATAAAGATGGGGTGAAGGGAAGGGGAATAATAGTTAGATGGGAATAATAGTTAGGGAAGGGGAATAATGCTAGAACTATTGGAACTTTTTACTTTCCCAAATTTTGGTAATGAAGTCATATTATTTTTATAATTAAACACAATTTTTAAAAAGATTTAAAAATCTTTTATCTATTACTGTGTTCAGTAATAGATATATAGGTGTATAGACATATGAAACTTCTATAGAGAAAGTTTATATAGAGAGAGACTATTGTACTACCTTCAGCAGCTTATAGCTGCCACAAATCTCACTCTTTGAACTAAAGCTGGGTATAAATAAAGCAACATACACATATACACAGAAAAACAAGAAGTACTTTTAGCTCCTTGCAGGCCCTCTGCATCGAGAGTTCTGTCACTGAAAGTTGGAAGGTTGGTCAAACTACTATGCAGATAAATCTTACTGTTTAAGAAAATAAAATGATAACAACCTGCTTTTTTAAAAGTTCAAAAAAAAAGTGTGCAAAAGTTAGAATAGATTATGAGAATACAGATATTTTTCTCTATTTCCCAACTTTCCTATAATTGACATAGTACTTTTATAATACACTTATTTAAATCATATTACATGGGGTTTTGGAGATAGACTTGGATTCAAATTAAGTTGTTCCTCATTACTGTAACCTTGAAGAAGTTACATAATCTCACTGACCCTCAGTTCCCTCGTTCATAATAAATAAAGACAAGATTTTTCTTACAAGGCTGTGGAAAGATTTAATTAGACAACTTAAGTATAAAACTAAATAAACATTAGTCCCCCTCTCCTTATAGAGAGAAGCTCCCGCCCCTGAGCTCCTCTACCCCCTGAGGCTCCTCTGCCCCCTGAGGCTCCTCTGCCAGGGCTGTAGACAGCAGGAGGTCTTGCTCTGAGTGACCAGGAGGTCTGTGGAATCCTCTTACTTACACTATGGTTTCCTAACTGCTCAGGGTGACCTTTTACTTACCTTCTGTCAAAATCTGTTTCAAGAAAGACTGTTTGAAAAAACTCCAAGTCAATTTAGCCTCTTTCCAATTTACAAAAGCCTAAAAGAGAAAACAAAACAAAACAAATCCCAGGCATTGCAAGTCCAAAAGTACAATAATGCTACATGACAGGCAATCTCGTTTTGTCCCTAATTCCAACTTGAACAGTCTCCACTCTTTTTTCATTTAGAGACATCCAATAAATACTGGCAAAGAATTTACATTCCTAAACTGGAGACAAAGTCTCTGGGTAGCACGGCCCCCTACAAGGGGCCTGCCCAGGGTTCATTCACAGAGACCCCTGACAAACCGTGCTGTCCCTTGGCTGCTACCCAGACAGTAAGCTGACCACATCTCGCACGCACAGCTCACAGTCAGTTCTTTCCTTACAAAACGTCTGAAGCATGCCAAGCTTCAGAACAAATTCTGCTTCATGTACTCCACAGCTTAATGCTATATTTAGCCATCCAGGATCCCTTTACATAAAGTATATGAGCTTTGCTTGCATATCTCAAAAGAAAGTCAGGTTTCTCATGCCAGTTAAACCACTCAGAATTGGTATGACAGAGGAAATAAAAAACAAAACTAAACTTCTGACATGGCTCTTCCAAAACTCCCAGGGGTCCTTAGGAAGAGCAGAGGTCAACCCATAAGAGACAGATGATCTCAAAGCCAGAGAGCTGACCACAAAAAGAGGATTGGGGCAGCTGGCTGGACACGACTTCTTTTTTCCTACCTCCCCCCAGTTCCCTCTGAGGCCCCCTCCTTTATCATGAAGGCATCTTGGATCCCAAATATTCGATCTAGCCGTTAGGTTCTTAATCTTAGGTTGCCTAGATTTTTAAAAGTTCTTATTAACTCAAAGTGATGATTTTCGAAAAGTAGGATTTCATGAGGCTCTTTGGGAGGAAAGGGGTGACACACAAAGGCCAAGCCCACGCCACTTCTCCCAAAGGTCAGCTTTTGGCTACAGAGTTAACCCAAGGGTAAATTGTTCCAGTCACATGGGCTCTTCCTCTTGGCCAAAAGCCCATCTGTATAGAGCAAAAGTATAATGCAGGCCACAGATATAACTTAAAATTTTCTAGCAGCCACAGTGAACAATAAAAAGAAACAGATTAATTTTATATATAATACATTAATTTTAATATATTTAACCCAAAGTATCAGTTCAACATGTAAAAAGATACTAGAGGGATTTCACATTGTATTTTTATACTAAGTCTGTGAAATCCAGTGCATATGTTTCCCTTACTGCTCATTTAATTCTGAGCACTCTGTAGCCTCATGTGGCTGGTGGCTACTATTTAGAACAGGGCAAGTCTAGGGTAGCCCTTAAAAGCGAGTCATTCCCAGTCCTCAAATCTCCTCATCCCTTGGTTTCAGAGCCTTTCTTCCAGACACTGAAAGGACAGGTCTGAATCCTCCCAAAGTACACTTCCTTCAGGGCATCATTGGACCTGAAGCAGATGCCAGGGGTAGCTCTAGCCCACGAGTAAATCTTGCCCAGTGAGAAGGAAACTGGGCATCTCCTTTCCCCAGAACAAAGAGCACCAAACTACCTGGCACCACCAGGGGGCATTGTGGACCACACCATGTTTGGGGCACTGCTCTTGCCCATAGTCAGGAGCCACTCACTCTCTCTCTCTTACATTCCCCAAGCCAGGTGATCCTCTGGGGCACATGGGCATCTCTGCTAAGTGGTAGAATAGAAGGGCATTCTTTGGCTTTTACTATTCTGTTCAGAATAGATTTGTTACTTGGGACAGTCAAAAAAGGTGTATTTCACGAGAGCTAGGTTGGTACTGCAGAGCTGGTCTACAGGCTGTGCATTTCTCTGGAATCCCCTGACCAATGAGCCATTCCAATTCATCACTGTAGCGATGGAGAAACTGAAGTGTGGATGGCGAAAGATAATGGGCAGTACCTCTTGGGAAGGTCTGGCATCAGAACTCTGGGGCTCACTATGTTTAATCTGATTTGCTCTTCTACTTCCCAAACTCTTGACTCACCCACCAGCCATTTGCTTGCCACACTGACAAGAGTCACCAGGGAGTCTGTGGACACCGTCCTGTCCCATGCCCTCCATTGTCTCCAAACCCTACACAGCACTCCTTTTCTCCTTCTTGCTCCAGGGCTATGGACTCTGCCCTGGCTTTGTCCATGTTTCCATTTCCCCCTCCTACTATTTTCATAATTTCTCATCTGGACAATTGCCACCAACTCCTGTTGGAGCTTTTTCACTTCCAACCTTTTCTCTAGCCCATCCTCCTCACAGTGGGGTTTGGGTTTCAGAGACTGGGGCTCAAACTGCAGCTCCCAACTTATTAGTGCAAAGGCCATGGGCAAGATACTTTGCTAGGCCTCAGTTTCCTCATCTGCAAAATGGAATAAGAAGTCCTACCTGCTGAAGCTGACTGAATGAGAGAAAACGAGATAGTCAATAAACCTGTAACAGAAGGTGAGCTTCTCAACACAAGCAATTAGACTATGGTACCGTTCAAAACTTTTCACTAGGCCCCATGGCACTGAGGCCACCACTACTTGGTCCTAGCCCAGCAGGCCACATAACCTTCTACCTTTTGCTTTCTCTCCCCTCCCCAACTGTTTAGCCAACCTAAATACTCCGAATTCCAGCACAGTGGAATTCAGCCCGAATTCCAGCACAGTGATGGATATATACTATAGGCCCTGAGAAAATGCTTTCCTTCTTGCAGCCACAAATGCACATTTCCGCCACACGCACACATTCACCTCTGCCCACCCATGTGTCAAGGCCCAGCTCAAAAGTGGCTTCCTCCATGAAGCCTTCCTTGATGCTCCCAGATGGAACCCACCGTTCTCCCCCTGTGTTTCTAACACCAAACACACGCCCTGTCCTGCGGTGTAGTTCACTGAATACAAATCTTTTTTTTTTTAGTGATGGTGTCTTTTTACATTTATTTTTTATTGAATTTATTGGGGTGACATTGGTTAAAAAAATTTTATAGGTTTCAAGGGTATAATTCTATGATGCATTATCTGTATATTGTATTGTGTGTTCACCACCCCAAGTCAAGTTTCCTTCCATCACCATTTATCAGTTGAGTACACATTTTGTTGTAACTCCCCACATAATGCATGTTCTGGGGACAGGAACCCCACTCAGGGCACCCGGTACAGGGCCTAACGCAGAACATTGCCTTGTAAGTGCTCGATCTGTTCAATTCCTCAGCTTTATTTAAATATTAGCAACTCTCTCATATTAAATCCCTCAGAAGTGTCAAGAAAATAAAAGAGATATAAAGGGCAGTCATTATTTGAGGGATCATTAGTTTTAGACTAAATGAGTACCTTTAAAGGAGATGGAATTCTATAAGAATAGACATAAAATCTTCTGATCTGGTCAAACTGACTTTGAGTGCAGTTGTTTGACCAGCTTTGTATGAAGGAGTCTGCAGAGCAGAAAGCTGCTCCAGAGTCCGGCTAGGCACGCTGCACTCAAAATTCATCTAATTCCTTTTTGCTTTTTAAAAAATAAACTTGAATAGTGAATTGTTCCACCTGGAACTTCCCAATCTTTAAGTAAGTAAATAACTACTTCCGGCAATAAGACAATTTCTCTGGGAAGACTACCTAACACAGAGATTAAACACATAGACTAAGGTTAGTCCACTGACAGAAGTTAGAGAGAAGTGGGTCCAAAACCCGCTGTGTGATTTTCGGTTAGTCACTTAACTCCTCTGAACCTGTTTTCTCATCTGTAAAATGCAAACAGCAGAATTTATCTCATAGGGTACTATAAGGATTGAAGACAAAAGTCCATGCAAAGTGCTTTGCATAATGCCAGGCACAGATTAAGCACACAGTCAAAGGAAGTTATTATAAACAGCTCTTGGCCAAAGTTCAAATACTTTCACAAAACTCCTTAAGTCTTCAGAGGAGCTTCACAGTTCAAGTAGACCAATAATCTCTCCTTAAACACGAGGATCCTAAGGTCTGGAGAGAGTCCTGCAGGCTTCGAGTCTGCACACACTGCCTCCCCAAAGCACAGGAAGCCTCTGAGGCCCAGCAATCACTTTCTGCATGTCTATATCCTGGCCAGCAGCCAGCATGGGGCTGCGCTCTGTTCGTCAGCAGGAACGGTGCCACTGTGTATGACAGGTACACACAACCTTCTGACGGTCAAGGCTTCTGTCAGTGCTGAATAAGCAGGGGTCCTCTCAGGACAGACCACCAGACTGGACTGCTGAGCTCTCACATCAATGCCATCAGTGTTGCCTCGCTGGGACATTTCAGTGGAGCCATTCCTGCTCTCAGAGCAGCAGTGTGATGGTGGTGACGGTACTGTGGTCACTATGGACACCCAGGTGGGCCAGGCCACAGTGCTAAGTACCCAACTTGTCCCATCTCATCCAGCTCTCATAACCACATGAGGAGAGAGGAACTCTTACTATCCCCACTTGACGGATAAGGAAATGAAGCTAGAAGTTCCAAGCCCATCACAGGGTCGAATACACACTCGACAGACTCCATATTACCCGCTCTCCTCGCCTGTGGTAAGGTCCAAATGCTCCTTTCCAAAATACTGCCGGGGCACAGGGGCTGGCCCAGTATGTAGAGCTGGCCAGGTGTGGTGCAGGTGAGAGCCCTGAGGAGCACTCAGGGGAGGGCACCTTCCGGCACGCTTAGCCCCACTGAGGTAGGTGGCAGAAGCTCCAGGCAAGAGAAGTGGTCTCGAGTCCCAAGCTTATAAGCCTGCAGATGAAGCACTGTGGTATCTCAAAATTACCATGTTGATTTAAGTTAAAGGTAAGATCTAGTTGATCTGAAAGAACTCTTATCTAACAAATCAGAATATGTCTGGCTTTGTTAGATCAATCTGGTTTTTCTTGAAAAGTTGTGAAGCAAGATTCCGTAAGTTCTGAGACTAAATTCCCACATATTTTACTACTTTTAAAAATAATCACAAAAGAGGAATAAAAAGTCCAGTCAAAGCCTTACCTCAAATAAGTGCATCACATCTAGGCAGCAAACAAGTAGGGGGAAAGGGAGGGCGGGTCAGCCCGGAATGGAGCGGTGCGCAAAGCAGCGGAGCAGAGGCAAAGCGGTATAACATCACCTCTGCAACTCTAAGGCCACAGACTGCAGCAGTGACCCCACGAGAGTCAGGAAATCACGGTCAAATGGACTGAGAGGTGAAGAGTTGAGTAGAAAGAGATTATGCCTCACTCCCACAAGTCAGCATGAGGAGTCCTCAGAGGGCTGCGTGGGAAAGTGGATCTCCTGACAGACAGGCCTGACACAAGATGAAGGAGCCTGCAGAGGTCGTCCCTGCTTTATCAGCGCTCTGGAGTGTCTGCGCCTGAGTAGAACCCTGGGAGAAACCAAGAGGCTGCAGAACAGACACAGTGGAGCGCAGTGGTTACAGTCTGTGTTCTGCAGGGATTCGAGCCACTCCAGGCTCCTGTCCTCATTCTGACCCTCACCTTGGGCAGGTATTTAGCCACTAAGCCTCAGTTCCAACAATAAAATATAAACAATAATAGCACCAGCCTCAGAGAGTTGTTATAAACAATGGCATGTAGAATACTCAGCATAGGGCCTAGCACACCGGTTCTCAAGTCAGGGCAGTTTTGTCTCCCAGGGGACACTGGAAGTGCGTGGAGATACTGGCTGTGGTAGCTGGGGGGTGGTAGCTACTGGCACTTGGTGGGTAAAAATTGAGAATGCTACTAGACATCCCACAATGCAAAGGGCAGCCCCTACAACAAAGAATGATCCAGCCCAAAATGTGAACAGTGCCAAGATTTAGAAACACTGGCTAAGCACATGATGAACAATAAATATGAGGTATTAGATTAAAGTTACTTCTATAATAATAAATAATCAAGTTGTAGTTTCTTTCCCTCAAGGATAACCAGCATCTGTGATTAAAATGATAAGAGACAAAAAATACATTACTTACTCTATTTCTCAGAATATTGGGTAACAGATCTGTCATTCTGGAGACAGGAAGAGTTTGTTGCTTGGTTGATTTTGGGAAACACAGTAACTTTTTGAAATATGTAACATAGCAGAGCACCAGAACTGCAGTATAAAAAACCTGAAAAAAAAATAATGGGTTTAAATCACACTGTTTTAATATAGTCATAATTAAGATATGCCTATTAATTTGACCTCAAAGGCCAATCAAGAAATAGAAGTCTTAATTAACTGCACCTTCCATTGAGAGACGCCTCACCCTCTGGTCTGTTCATAAGACCGAGCTCCACTGCAGCATCTCTGGGGAAAGAGTGCAAAGGATTGCACCTGCCTGGGAGAAAAGTTCTTCTGGGCAAGCAGAACATAATTTCCATGACAGATCTCCACTAGTGCCAACTGCCACATGGATATCAGATATGTTCTCAAAGGATTTGCACTTGGCCAAAGAACAAGCTCTCCCTCCTAGACAACACACTTTGAGGATCCATGTGTCCTGGCTGGGCTAATATCCATCACCTACTACTGGAGATGTTACATAAAGCCCAGACACCTGTGACATTATGATTATAAAGCAGAACTGAGCTGCTGGCTCTGCTCTGCCCAGTGCATGGGCAGGGACAAGTGGAATGACGAGAGCCCACACTGCCCCCACCCATCCAGGACAGAGGACAGCTTTTGGCCAAGAGCAGCAGCCAGGGGTTTTATTTGCTGGTTGGGGAGAAGTATTCAAAGAGCCCCTTTTTACAAACTCCTTTCTACCCTCTTTCCCTCTGAAAACAACAGTGCACACTAGCTCAAGAAGAAATGGGACTTCCAGGCCCGCTTTTCAATCCAGACACACCCGCTGGAAAGGCACAGAGCAAGGACAAGAGGAGCCTCTGCCACCCGTGCCTCTCCTATCCATGCTTGAGAACAGAGCCTGCCAGCAGCCGCTACCCTTCTTTTTTTTTTTTTTTAGTTTTATCAAGAAATAATTGATAGACATCACTGTATAAGTTTAAGTCTGACAGCATGATGGCTTGATTTATACTTACTATAAAATAATTACCACAACTGGTTCAGCTAGCATCCATCTTTTCGCATAGACACAATAAAAAGGAAAAAATTTCTTGTGATAAGAACTCACAGAATTTATTAACAACTTTCCTATATATCATCCGGTAGTGTTAGCTATAATCATTGTGTTGTACATTACACGCTCAGTACCTATTTATCTAATAACTGGAAGTGCGTACCTCTCAGGCACCTTCCTCCGATTTCCTCCCGGACCTCTCCAATGTCATGCCGAAAGTCCTTTAAGACACACCACCTGCTGCCGGCATCCTGTGATAAGCACCCTCTTCCCAGCTCCCTTCCCCACCTTCACTGTCTAATTCCAGAACGTTTCCCTCACTCCAAGAGGAAATTCTGTACCCATTAAGCAGTCACTCTCCATTTCCCCCATCCCCTGGCAACCACTAATCTGCTTTCTGTTTGTCTGCACTTGCCCATTCTGGAGAGTACATGTTAATGGAGTCATGCAATAGGTGGCCCTTTGTATTTGGTTTCTTTCACTCAGTAAAATGTTTTAAAGGTTCATCATGTTATAACATGTATCAGTATTTCATTTTTATAGCTCACTAACAGTCTACTACATGGATACACCACGTTTTGTTCATCAGCTGGGTATTTCAATTGGGCATTTTGTTCATCAACTGTGAATAGTACTGATATGAATATCCACGTACAAGTTGTTTGAACAACTGTTTTTAATTCTTTTGGGTGTATACCCAGGAGTGAAAGTGCTGGTTCATTTGGCAGTTCTACATTCAATGACCAAACTATTTTCCACAGTGGCTACACCATTTAATTTTACCACTAACAACATATGATGGTTCTGATTTCTTCTTATTCATCTCAACACTTGTTTTCTGGCTTTTCTTTCTGATAAAAGCCATCCTAATGGGTGCAAAGTGGTTTCTCACTGTTGTTTTGATTTACATTTGCCTAATGACTATTGATGTTGAGCATCTTGTCATTAGCTTATTGGCCATTTATTTGTCTATCTTCTCCCATTTGCTAGCTTGTCTTTTTGTTGTTGAGCTGTAAGAATTCTTTATAAATTCCAAAGTGATCCTTTTATTTGACATTTGCTGCTGGGGGTGAGGGGCTATTTCAGGGAGAACCTGTTGGCAGGTCAAAGGCAATCCCAGGGTACAGGTTGTGGGCTTGCCTGCTGATCGAAGGTGCTGTTGGCTCTTGGACCGCTAATGCATAAATTGACAGAGAATGTACCAGAAAAAAGCTCTCAGAAGTCTTATGATAAGGAAGCAAATAAACTCAGAACTGGCCTTGCTGACATATATGACCTATGCATGACATATCCTTGGTGGGAGCTATGAATAAGAGTCATAAAGAAAGTACCCTCCCATGAAGAGTCAACTAATAACGGTGTCTGCGTGATCCTCCTGTCCTATTAGGGAGTGTGCATCAAAGATATAATGAATGTCGGGAACTGCAGTTCTGAGGCTAACAAAATGTGGCAAAAACAATCACAAATAATTTACCTGAAATATGTAATCGTTTGCAAATTGCTCTTAGAAGGCAATTCTCATTCTCATTCTATTAATTTTAAATCTAGCTCTCCTGTGTTTCCAAAAAAATATTTGTAGTTTTTGTTTAGGACATGGGAAAGGTTTTCACATGCATCATTACTAAAAATTTTAACTTATCTTCCTATACATTAAGAAAAATTACAAACTGCTTTGTAACTATTTAATCTTAGATTTCATTTTTAATTTGCACTTGTACTCTACTTGTAGTTTATTAGAACTAGAAATGTGAACTGGACTAGAAAACAATAACATGAAAATGAACCTAAACTGCTAAAACTAAAAAGGTACCTTCTAAAACTTGATTCATACCTTCTGAATTATGTAAGATTTTCTTTCTAAATCCTTACTGGAGGATATGTTTCTTCATTAGTTTTAGAAGGAGAGGAAGCGGGGGTTTGGGGGAGACGGAGGAACATCGATGTGCGTAAGAAGCATCGATCAATCGCCTCCCACACGCACCCGAACCAGGGATGGAACCCGAAACCTTTTGGTGTACGAGACAACGCTCCAACCAACTGAGCAACCCAGACAGGGATGAATTATGTAAAATCTTAATCTAAGTTTAAAACAGGCTTGGCAGAGTTTCTTCCTATTCTGAAAACAACTGGTTGAAATCCAGGGAAAATAACACACATGCAATTTGATTCCCACCCCATCCACTTACTCTTTCCTTCCTAAGGCAGACAATCAAAGGTCGGTTTGGTTTGGACCTGCCCACAGAGTATCTAAAGGAGTCTTATGTTTAACCATTAGGCCTAGAGGGTGGCCTTCACCAGGTTCTGGGGACACCAGCGGTGTCAGTGCGTGCAGCAGGATAAACATGGCAGCCAGAGGAGAAGCAGTGTCAAGGCCATCTTCCTGGAGCTTCCAGCCTTCTTCACATGCATGAATACTTCAACATAAACCGTGCAGTAATGCGAACAAGATGAAAAACCCCAGTGGAAAAACAGGTTGCACAAAAGTTAAAAGTCATAACTATTACCTGGGCCAGAGAGAAAATGTACAGGCCCCAGTGAGGCAGCCAGAGCACAAGGAAAGCTGTCAACACACTCTTGAGGATCACCGACAGGCTCTCAGCGATCACCTGCAAACAGGCAGTGAGGAGAGCACTTTACAAACATTACAAAAAACTATGCAAAAACTTTACTAGGAATGACAGACAATCTGGGATAGTCCTGGCTGGTGTGGCTCAGTGGGCTGGGCATCATCCTGCAGGCCGAAAGGTCTCAGGTTCAGTTCCCAGTGGGAACCAATCAGTTTCTCTCTCGCACTGATGTTTCCCTCCCTCTCTTTCTCCTTCCCTTCTTCTCCCTCTAAAATTAAATAAATGAAATCTTGAAAAAAAGATTTACATGTATGTTATACACATTCTTTTGTACATATCGTATTATATATTTTAAAAGATAAAGAGAGAAGTTAGTATAGAACAAAAAATAGTCTCAATAGAAAAATCTGAAAAACCTTTTCAGTCCTCTTAAATTCTTTATTTTTTCTTTTATCTTTATTTTTAAATTTAATCTTTATTGTATTTTTTTCATTACCATTTAGTCCCCTTATACTCCCTCCCCCAACAATCCCCACACTGTTGTCCATGTCCATAGTTCTTCTTTCTTTTTGCTCAATCCCTCCACCCCTCACCTTCCTCCAGTTTTTTGTTGTTGTTGTTATTGATTTTAGAGAGAGGAAGAGAGATAGAGAGAGAAACAGGGAGGGAGAGGGAGGGGAAGAAGGTAAAAGAGGGAGAGAAACATTGACTGGTTCCACTCATTCATGCATTCACTGTTTGCTTCTTGTTTGTGCCCTGACCAGAGTTGAAGCCCACAATCCTGGCATACCAGGGCAATGCTCTAACCAAGTGACTACCTGGCCAGAGTTTAAAGTCTTACCTAAACTAACACTAAACCTGTTTTTCTCTAATAGCATAGTAAAGGTAAATGTTAGCTCAGCCCATCTGCCAACTTTCCTTTTTTTAAAAGATTTAATTTATTTATTTTTAGAGAAGAGAAGGGAGGGAGAGAAACATCAATGTGTGGTCCTGGCCCGCAACCCATGTATGTGGTTCCCGACTAAGAATTGAACCAGCGACCCCTTGGTTTGCAGGCTAGTGCTCAATGCACTGAGCCGCACCAGCCAGGGACCATCTGCCAAATTTCAAGTGAATGAACTAAGCTTATCACATTACCTTTTTCCAAATAGCTTTTTAGATGCAAGTCTGAAAAAAATAATTCTCTCTTACTAAGGCTTTTTTTTTTTAAATCACTCTTGCATTTCCCATTCACAGCAGAAGACATACTGACCTTGAGCTTGACAAACATATGTGCTTGTGCCAAGACCCAGAAGGGTTCTCCCAGAAGTTCCACCACAGCTGAGAGACCAAATAACACCACTCCTGCTCCGTAGTGGGGGACAACATTAGGGTCAGGCACTTCAAGCAACCGTAGCCAGACCCAGCCCAGGAACAAGGACCAAAACACACCCAGAGGGACTCTGGAAATGGGGGGAAACTGTTTTTAATATGCTAAATATAAAAACATAAACACATATCAAAATACCAACACTGAACAGAAAAGAAATATAGTTATAATAATAAAAGGGCTAATTCTTGATAAGGCATTAGCTACCTGCTCAGTCCTACTTTATCTCGGTACTGAGATACTTAACAATGATCCTGTCATTATCTTCATTTAATCCACTGAGCCACACCAGCCAGGCTATCATTATCTTCATTTAAATGATGAGGGAACTAAGGCTGGATACTGGGCAATTTGGCCAAGGTCATGAACAGCTAGTGAAGGGCAGAAGCACAACCCCATCCCGATCTGTCTAATGCCCTATCTATTGTGTTACACTGACTCAAAAGCAAAATTCCCCAGAAGTGTCTGCCTGTCGTTCCCACTTAGAATCACTAAAACACAGGACACAGCTGGTACTTACACCCAAATGACCAACAGGCCAGCACACAGTATCCCTTTACATGTGCCCCACAGAGCACTTAAAGATGACTGGTAGTCAACAGTCATTCTTCTCATGAAATGCAAGTCGTTTCATTTCTGCCCTTATGAAAGCCATTCCCATGTGGCACTGGGAGTGATACTGGGAAACAATCTCAACCACCAGCCCTCCCTGCAGGGAGTTAACTGCAGAAAAGCTATTATAATTTTTAGCTGATGTACTTGGTCTTTAAGAATATTCTAAAAGGCTCAGAACTGAAACCAACATAACAAAAATGGAAGAAAGATATAATGAAATTCCTAAAAGGCTTTCAAAAAATACTAAGTGGTTGTTAAAAGCTCAGGAAATACCACAGAGGGAAAAGATTAGGAATAAAAAAGCCGGCACAGGCTCCGGGGGGCCCAGACTGGGGTTCAGGAACAGCAGAAACAACCTCCACGAAGGGTAGAACTAGGGCTGGAAACCCGTCCCAGGAGCCGCCCTCTGGAGCCTCCTCTGGCTCCTGGCCATCCAGAGAGAAAACATCAGACGCCAGGTCTCTAGAAACCCGCTGCAAAACCAAAGCTGGAGACAATTCAGCTTTAGGCAACTGTTGCTTTTTAATTTGTAATATCTGTTTACACTTGCCTTCAGAACTGTCTCCTGACAAAGCACAACTCACGTTAGCCACAAGAGGTTGATGGTCTGGCTCCAGTCTCGCTGGGTGCTCCCACTCAGACATGCTCTACGGAAGGCCTCTCTGGCCAGGAAGATGGTGGTCGAGTAAAGCAGTGTCAGCCTGTTAGGAAAAGCAGAAATCAATAGGGTCTCTAGTTCTTTTTTTAGAAAGCAGTTCTGAGATTTTACCAGCAACAGGGAGAAAAAAAAGTCTTGGTCATCATAAATCACTGGTGGTGATATGGAAGACTGTGAGTTCTTATAGGGCCCCTCACTAGTCCAATCCATCAAACAACAGAATTAGGAACCAAATAAAGGACGCTTGAGTGTGTGTCTACAGAGTTACACCTGGGATAGAGTTACACCACAGCGGTCCCCAGAGCTTGCGGGCTTTATGGCTACAGGCAGAGGTGCAGCTCTGACTGTAAGGAAAAGGATAAGACATGACCCCACACAGTAAGGGGACTCTGAGACTGGAGACCTAATAGCCCTTGTGAAAGCAGCTGAGGCTCTACTGAGTGGAGGCTCTGGCCAAAAAAATCTTAGGACAGGCAAAAAGACTGGCAGCCATGATGGCACCCAGGTCAGCAAGGTTTGTCTGTGTACCTCCCAGGCTGGCAGCACCTAGGTGGACCCTCCTGCACCTTTAGTGGGGAGTAGCTGAGGTTTCCCTTCCTCAACAAGCTATGCGTGGCTCAGATGAAGCCAGAGCAGGGGTGGCCCACAGCTATGGTTTCTGGCATTGTCCAAGGATCACTCTGCTACATTTCAAATGAGGAACCATATGTTGAGCAGGCAGCTGGACAGATAAGGGCCATTAAAACAGGGACCTGCTAATCCGGAGGAGACTAGATGAAGAGAGGCCCAAACTGCTTTAAATCTGAGCACCTAGGAAGATTTTATCTTTTCCTTCCTGCTTTTAAAAGAGTAGTTCTCAAAGTATGGACCCTACTTCAAAATTACTTGAGGAGCTTGTCAAAAATTCAGATTCCAGGGCCCCTGGTCAGCCTGACCTAGTGAAAAGCTTCCCAGATGATTCCTTTGCCCATCAGTGTTTGAGAACCTTCACTAAGCTCCAAACACAGAGCAAAGAGCATATGCTCGGTAGGCATTTGATACGAAATGCTGTCTGGAACACACTGCCTTATTTATCAGGACACGAGGACACGCCCGAGAAGATGAGCCATTCTGTGCACTCACATCACTTCACACACCTTTGTGTCATTTGTGAATACAAAACATGTGTGAGTGTCCTTGAACAGAAAGGAGGGGAGTAGGAGAAACAAACTGAGTCTAAAGACAAAGCAAGTCAGCTAGGAGTCTCCAAGGAATTAATGACAAGGACTCAAGCTCTTATCTCAGCTACCATCTTCCATTAAAAAATTCACTGAAGGAAGGAAAGTGGCTGCACCAGCCCTGAGATTATAAAGCACATCCTCACGAACTGCAGAATTCCTGCTTCTTTTGCTGTCAGCAAGAAAAGAACACAGAATTATACCTAAGACAGGGTTTGCAATGAATTACTCCCACTCCTCTCCTGGGTTCTAAGAACAGGCAAACAGGAAAATGCTGGCAGGGAAATGTGCATTTAGAGGCTGCTAATGGAAAACACTCCATGGGTCCGTTAAAAGCGACTCCCCCGCTCAGTCCCCTACCCCAGCATGCTCCCCCTCGGCCCGCCACTAACACTGACTCTAGTCAGTGCCCATGCTTCTGAAACCCACAGAGGAAAACCTGGCGAGGCGTGTGAATTGCGGACAGTGCTAGGGCGCGTCCCTTCTCACCTTACATTCACTATGCCAAGGACCTCCTTCGACAGGAAGCGGAGAATAAATGCGTTCAAGACAAAGGTGATCAACCGAAACAACACCTAGGACAAAGATAAAAATACATAAGAATAAATTGTGTTGGGCCCTGACTGGTGTGGCTCAGTTGGCTGGGCGTCGTCCCGCAAAGTGACACCTTCCCCGTTCAATTCCAGGACAGGACACAGGGCTGGGTTGTGGTTTGGTCCCTGGTAAGAGCAGGTAGGAGAGGCAACCCACCCATGTTTCCCTCTCACATCGATGTTGCTCTCCCTCTATTTTCCCTCCCTTCCGTCTCTCTAAAAATAAATAAAATTTTCATTAGAAAAGAGTAAATGATGTTGAAAGTGTTTACTTCGCTGAAATGAAAACAATGTGCCTGCTCTTCCTAGTGGAATGACACCCAGCGGCTTTGCCACGGAGGCCCTTTCCAAAACATTCCATCTGTCTGCATTTTTCCCCAGAATTTCATTCCTTAGGGTCTCTCAGCACACCTGGGCAGTGGTCAAAGAACCCAACAGTAAAACTTAATTTACTCCCAAGAGGATGAAGGCACTGACAGACAACAGTAAACCCCAATTTACTCATGAGAAGAGGAAGGCACCGACAGACTCAGGGGAATTTCTTTGGGTTCAAAGTCAGGCACTCCAGGAGGCAGAAAGAGAATTTTAGTTAGTGCTTCACAATGCCCCTCCTTCCAGCCTGTTTAGAAATAGCACACACTTAGCAAGCGTTAACCAGCAGGGTATAGCAGACTCACTAGTAATCAAGGGGTCTAATTCTCTTTCTTCTCTACCTGCCTGTATCTGGGGATTCTGATAATGACATTTAATCTCTCTGAACTCCAGTTTTCAATTAGAAAACAGAAAAGGCTGTGTTTATCTACTGAATATTTGCCATTTTCCAGAGAGGAGTTGAAATACCTTTTAAATGACAACTGCAATAACAAGATAACATAAAATGGGGGGCGGGCAGTGGAGAGAGGGGCAGAATCCAGCTATTGCCATTTGAAAGGGATATATCTGCCCTGGCTGGTGTGGTTCAGTTCATTGAGTGCCAGCCTGCGGTGGACCAAAGGGGTGCTGGTTCAATTTCCAGTCAGGGCACATGGCTGGGTTGCAGGCCAGGTCCCCAGTTGGGGATGTACAAGAGGCAACCACACACTGATGTTTCTTTCCCTCTTTTCCCCTTTCTCTAAAAATAAATAAATAAAATCTTTTTTAAAAAAACTAAAGGAATATATCTTGAGGCTTTCAAACCTGTCTGTAGAAAACCACCTTAGCAAAGGTTCTCCCTAGGAGACAAAGAACAGGTTGCAATTAGATGGGTCATTCAATGGGGGTGCTGAATGGGGGGCCAGCCTCACACCGAGGGGCTCTCCCGCCGCATCCCAGCAGCACCACAGGTGTAACTCAAGTGCACCTGAGAGACAAAGACATCACTTCTCTGTGCAGCACTCTGAGAGTTACCCATGAACAACTGCAACCTCAGGCAATCAAAGTATGCCAATGAACCACTGAAGTCTGAAAACTGTCGGGGAAAGGTATGACCCAAAAGGGAGAGTGCAGTTTAACAATGTCCCTGAAGTGTCACAGAGCAGCAAGGTCTCCAAAGCCAAGACATCACAATCTTAACATTTATGGAGTCAAATGTGACCTTTTGTGAGTCTGCTGAAAGCTCTGTAGCTCTCATGAGAAACATGCAGGTATACATACAGTGGTGGGCAAAAGTAGGTTTATACTTGTTGAGTACATGAAACACAGTTTACTCCTATAATTATTTATTATTGCATTATTTATATTACAACTGTAAACCTACTATTGCCCACCCCTGAACATACACACATGCCAAATTCTGTATTCAGTTTTAGAGGTTTGAAGCCAATGCAGAGCTGTTAATGGAAAAACCCATTTAGCTGAATATCTCCACTCACCATTGAACTGTTTGCCCCATCATCCTCCTGTCAAATGAGGCTGCTTATCTTATAAGCTTGATAATAAGGATCAAACAAGATCGGGTAGGTAAAAGCATTTTTGAAGAAATGCATACAGATAAGACTCATTAATATTTTACTACGTATGGCCAGCTCAGAGTTATAACAGAGAAGAAACTCTCAAATTCTTGAAGATTACAGTGTAATTGCAAAATTACCTCAAGAGTCTGCATCATAAATTGAGAAAGCATACAAGATTGAATTAAAACACACACAAGAAATCTAAAGATTATGGGTTTTTTTTGTTTGTTTAATTCTCACCCGAGGATTTTTTAGAGACAGGGAAAAGGAGGAAGGGGGAAGGAGTGGGGGGAGGGAGAGAGAGAGCACATTATTTGGTTGCCTCCCATGTATGCTCTGACTGGGATCAAAACTGCAATTTAGGTATGTGCCCTGTCAGGATATCAAACCTGCAACTTTAAAAAATTTTTTAAAAAATCTCCACCAAAGGACATTTTCCATTGCTCTTTAGAGAGAGGATGGGAGAGAAACATCAATGCAAGAGAGAAGCATTGATTGGTTGCCTCCTATACATGCCCAGACCAGGGAATGTATGTCTGGACAGGGACTATACCCACAACCTACAGCTGTGCCATGACTGGGAATTGAACCCACAACCCTTAGGTTACGGGACGATGCTCCAACCAAACCACACAGGCCAGGGCCGAACCTGCTACCTTTTTGATGTACGAGATGATGCTCCAAACCAATTTAGCCACCCGGCTGGGATGGCTATTGTTTTTAAAAAACCACATACACATATTTATGTTAATTTCAAAATCAAAGTTATCCTTGTGTACAAAACCTGATGTCTCAGGCTTTTCCCTGTCTCTTAATTGTTTTGAATAAAAGTTTGAGCTAATGAAGCTCTGAGGTTGCTCATGCTACCCAGTATTTGTTCCACATAGTGGCTTTTATTGATAACGGTCTTCATTTTGCAAAGGAATTTATAGTTTTAAAAAAGAGTTCTTTCACATCTGTTAATTATTTGACCATTAAAAGAAACCAAGTAAATGCATATGATGCAAGTAAGACAGAGCCAAGTGAGTTGCCCCATGTCATTTCATTCCTATGATGACCATTTAAAAAATTCTAATGACCATTATTACAAAAAAATAGCTACCATTTATTGAGTATTTACAATGCATCAGGCACATAACAGGAATTTCATCTAATCTCCCTAATGACCTTATGAGGTAGCAATATTGTTCTCGTTAAAGATGAGGAAACTGATGCTCAGAGAAGTCAAGTGATCTTTCCAAGGATGGGCACCTAGCAAGTAACAAGGCCCAAACTTGAGCTCAAGCCTGCCTTGTTCTTTCTCCTAAACTCCATTTGAAAAATTGACTCTACAAGATAAGGGAGGTGAATTCAGGACTTTTGTGAGGAACGGTCGGATGGCTCAAGAGTGAGACAGAGAAATTGAGCCACTTGACTTAGAATGACCGGCTCCTTGGGTTAAAAGAATCTTTATATATCATTTGGACCAACTGGCATATACTGTATCTGACAGATGATGAAAATTAGAACCAAGAAGAGGAAGTGATTGGCCCAAGGTCACATAGCCAGCAGGCACAATGCACACTAAGAGATACTGTGTTAATACAATTACCTGAATAACTTCAATCTAGCCTAACAGCAATCTTATACGCTGGATACTATTCATAACCCCTTTTCCCAGTGAGGCTTATTAGGTGAAGTCATTTGTCCCGGTTCATGCAGCAAGTGCATGGCAGAACCAGGATTTCAATTCAGGCCTGCCTGAGGTCCCTGTTCTTAGCTATGCCGTTACTGTCTCTCTCAACTCAGTGGAAGTCAAAGAGTTTGAGGAAGGTGTTTGAGGGTAAGGGGTGGAGCATGGGGAAAATTAACCCCTTGCCTTAAAAAAAAAAACAAAAAAAAAAAACACATCAGCTTCTACGGCACCACAAACAACCCTGCCACCTGATCTCTCTCATACTACCTTATGAGAACTACAATTCTCAAAAGGAAAGTGGCGTATTTGCAAACTCCTAATCAGGATTCTGAACCCAGTCTCCCAACTCCGGGCCCAGGAGCCTCCTTTCGGCCTCCACCTTCTCCTGTCAAACCCCTCAGGTAGCCAAATCCACACCGGGACGGAGTCCGCCCAGAGGTGGGCTCCCCACGAACCCCGGCTGCGGAAGGGCGTGGGGCTGACCGAGCAGAAAGTACCTGCAGGAGCAAACCGGAGGAGGCCAGCCGGGCTGCCTGGCCCAGGACCTCCTCACTGCCCATAGCCTCGGCGCCCGGGCACTGTCACCAGGAAAAGCCTCCGCCGGCTGGCTCAGTCGCGATAAGAAGACGTCACGGAAAATCTCGCTCTCTGATTGGTGATTTTTGGACGGAAGGAGGGGCACGAGAAGACGAGCTTTTTAAGTGGGTACTGGGTTGGGGTAAGTCATTGTGCCTGCGTCGCCTGTCCTCTCCATTTCCTACTAATCTATGCGCTGTGTCTACTCCTACCTGTGTCAGTAAGTTAAATCGTGATGGGTACGAAGAAACGTTAGAGTAGTCGAAGCTCCTTTTCTGAGGCTCTCAGTCTTCCACCCAAAAAACCCTAACTTCTCTGACCTCATTAATAAGATTCTTACCTTTTGGCCTTTGCCTACAAAATCGCAGGCACAGCCCCCTGAGTTAGGCTGCACAGGATTTGACTGAGGACCAGAAATAACTGAGGACCAGAAGTTAAATACAGTATTTTCACATGTGTGGTTTCGTGGAATTCTTCCGAAAGTGCCGAGAATCGGGCTTTGTGGTCAGATGAGTAAGTTGAGACTGGAGATGTGAAGTGACTTGTTCCAATCTACACGTCTTATTCCTGGGTTGGAGGAAATCCCAGGTCTCTTCATCCTAAACTTGCCTCTCTTGCCTGCATTCTACCTGTTGTGAGGACAGAGTAGAAGAATGGGCTGGAGGTGCTTTCTGAAATGTAAAACACCTTACACATACACTCAGCAGTTCTCTTGGTGTTATTATCTGCAATGTAAACTTTAGAAGCCCAATCTTCCCCAATCTCTTTCAGGCCTTCAGTGATTTGGCCCTAACCTACTTTCTCAACCACCTTACATATAATCACAGCCCTTTCCCAACACGCTGTAGGTTCAAGGCCTTAAAAGCACTTACTGTTCCTGTCTCATAGACCTTTGCTCCTGCTGCCCTCTCTGCCGAAAGTGCTTTGATGGCATCCCCCACCCATCCAGGTCCCACTGTCCTGACTTTGCTGAGTACCACCATCAGCTCCTGCTGTGGACTGAATGTGTGTCCTCCCCAAATTCCTATGTTGAAGCCTTAATCTCCAGTGCAATGGTATTTGGAAGTGGGGCCTTTGGGAGGTAATTATGTCATGAGGGTGGAGCCATCAATGAATGGGGTTAGTGCCCTTATAAGAAGAGACAAAAGAGAGATGAACTCTCTCTCCACCACATGAGGCAGCAAGAAGGCAGCTGGCTTCCAAACAGGAAGAGGACTCTCACCAGAAACTGAATTAGCCAGTACTTTATCTTGGACTTCCAGCCTCTAAAACTGCAAAAAATAAGTTCCTGTTGCTTCAGCTACCCAGTCTGGTATTCTGTTACAGCCGCCTGAGCTCACTAAGACAGCACCTGTAAAGCACTTTGTAACCCTTTATAGCTCTTGGCACAATCTGCTTTGCAATGAAGAGACTGCAGTGCGTTTCTCTGTTTAAACAGCCTATTGCTCCAAGAAGGCAAGAGTGAAGCCCACCTGGCTTGCCTCCTGCCAGAGTGGCAGAGAAAGTTCCAAAGTCTCCCATAAATACCTCCTGACTCTTACTGCTGCTGAAAACAGATGATGGGGCTCAAGGCCTATGTATCATCCTACCACCATCTTGCCAGATTAATCAAGCTCTATCTTATAGTGGAGGCTCAGAATGTGAGCTTTTAACTGTCAGAAAGGCCTGGCCTGAAATCCTCATTCTGCTACTCTCTAACCAGGTGACCTCAGTATGCTTAACTATTAAATAGGGGATATTATCTGTCCTGTGAGGGTAATCATAAGAATTAAAGTAGACAAAAGTCTGACCCTTAAGAAGCTTAAGTTCTAGTGGAAGGGAGACTGGAAAAAAAAAAACCTCTAACAAACAAACAAACAAACAATATTTCACATAGTAGTAAATGCTATTATGAAAGAATGAAACCAGAGAAGGTAATGGAGGCTCTTGGAGGGTTAGGAAGAGGTGATGTTCTATGAGACAGAGCAAACTGGGAACCCCCCTGGGATAGCAATATGCCTAGAAAAGAGAGCAAAATGTTGGAGGGTTGAGGTGTTTAGTCTAAGGGCCAAGATGCCCAAGGCCTTGACCTGGCAGCCTGCCCACCCCATGGACCTTAGACTGACAAGTGAGGTAGGCTTTTGCTCCCTTTATCCCCAGCCAAGCGGCTGCCTCCTCCACAGCTCATCCCTGAAGCAGAACCAGCCAAGAGCACCTCATGTCCACACACTCTTAATCCTGGCCATCCAGGTGGGCTAGTATGGGAGGGACAAGGGAATCATCTCACTGGGAGCAAAGTAGCCAAAGGGAAATGCTCCAGGCTAAGTCTGAAAGGCAAAGCCTCCAAGAGGTCCAGGGTATATACCCTGAGGGGCTCTTGGGCAAGTAGTCATCAGTCTTTTTCTCTCACTCTGAAAGTTAAGACTTAGCAAGGAGAGAGTGCACAGGAGCTTTGTGCCCAGAGCCATGCTGGTGCTGGAGTAGGGAGGGGAGAAGGAATTGCAATGAGAGTCAATGAGCACTGACCACTGACCTCACATTGGGTGCTTGTCTGAGCACTGTACTCCTTTGTTCTCCCAACAGCCCACGCAGCAGTTATTAAAGATGAGGAAACTGAGGCACAAAGATGTTACGTTGCTCACCCAAGGCCATTCACACAGTCAAGCCGGTATTGAACTCAGGTGCTTTCTGACTCCAAATGCTAAAAGAGTGATGTTGCTGCCCTCAAAAAGCTTCTGGTCCTGACGGAGACCTAAGAGTCCCCATATCTAAACCACAGAGAACATATGTGACATTGAGGGAGTGGACTCTGGGAGGGCCATAGTGGCTCAGTGCAGTGGGCTTGGAGGCTTCACCCACCTCTGCACTGAGCCTCTCCAGGAGCCTTGCCTCTGCTGATGACATTGGCACCAACAGGCCCTGGCATGCTCCATGGTCTTTGTGTGGAGGGCTAAGCTTGGGGCTGGTGAGCTATGGGCCCACTGGCTGTGGCCTGCTTTGTATGACCTACAAGCTAAGAACAGTTTTTACATTTTTTAATGCTTGGGGGGAAAATCAAATGAATATTTCATGACATATGAAAATTATATGAAATTCAAATTCTGATGTTCACAAATAAAGTTTCACTGGAACACAGCCACATCCACCCATTTGTTTGTATACTGTCTATGGCTACTGTCTTACTACAATAGCAGAGTAGTTTGGCCCCAAAAGCTGGAGATATGTACTATCTGGTCTTTTACAGAACTAGTTTGCCAATCTTGGTGAGACCCAGTGCCTGATGTACAGTAGACCTTTCAATACCGAATGACTAAATGCATGGACAAATGAATAATGAAGGGCTAGGAAAGGAAAGAAGACAAATAAGAAGGGTCTTTTCCCCCAGGATCTCCTGATATGGGGAGCAAATGATCCTTGGGGAACACCAGACCATAATTGGTAGTCACCGAAGGAGCTGTTTCCCCTCACTTCCCCCCTCCCTCTTGCCATCTGTGCCAGGTGGCCTCCTTGCCAAGGAAAGCTGACCCGAGCTGGCTATTTTATTACAAAGTTGGAGAGGGTGCCAGGGCTGATACCAAGCCAGTTAGGCTCCCAGGGCAGCAGGGCAGGGAGGGAGGCTGCCAGCAGGCGGGGCGTCAGGGTAAAAGCTAGGGCAAGTGGGGCCTTGGACCTCAGTGGGTGGAGGCGGAAGAGTTGGGCATTATCCCATATACCAGCCACTAGGAGGCAGGGCATCTTGGGTAAAGGGTCCTGCCCTGCCAAGGCTTTCTGCTGCCCGCTGGGTGGAGAACCTCCACCAGGGCCCCTCCCTGCAAGAGAACCTGAGGGCTCTGCCCTTCATTCAGAAGTCCATGAGAACATGGATGTGCTACTAGTAGTCCACGCTTTTTCAGTGTCTCTAGGCTCTGTGCTGGGCACTTCATTTTCACGATCTCATTTTACCCCAGGCCCACAAGGCATACACCGTTATTATCCCCATTTTACAGACCAGGAAACTGAGGGTCAGTGAGGTTAAAGGACATGCCTAAGGGTTAGTAAATGATGGTGCCAGAATTTTCACTGGGCATTGTGGCTCCCGGACCCCTAACCAGGAATGAGCCAGAGTGTTTATTGATAATCTGATTTCCTTAGCTTCACCTCACCAGCTCTGGCTCAGGAAGGCTGAATGGGCCTAGGAATCTACATTAACCCATACCTTGGGTGCTTCTGATACAGTGGAGCAGACTGTGAGAAGCACTGCCTAAGGGCAGATCTTTAGGCACCTTGGAAGTCTGCCTCCTTCTCTGAGCCCGAAGAGTCTGTCTGCTTAATGCAAGCAAAGTAAGTCCCGAGATCTGTCCCCAGGCTTGTCCAGCCACCAGAGGTTTTCAGGATTGGGCTGTGGGTCAGCACTCAGGGCACCAGGGGCTGGAGGCCTTGGAGAAATTCCGTGCTAGGAAGGGTGTACAGTGCAGCCACTGGATCCCAGGGTCTGCTGGTGGGTTGAGGGTGAGTAGCCACGGGCTCTGGCTCCTTTGGGCATTGATTTGTACAGAGACAAGACAGTAACCTGCAGTGCCCCCACATCAGCCGAGTGCATTCCACTGCAGCCTCTATTCCTGAACTGCTACCCTGTGCTGGGCATCAGGAGGGTGCATGAGAGTGAATGAGTCACTATCACAGCCACCTCCCAGCTGAAGGGCCTTCTCAGGGAGAACACGAGAGCGATGTCAGGCAGGCTGAGGTGGAATGAATGCACAAGGGGGAAATCAGGGGTGGGGATCAGATCTTTCTGACTGGGGCATTAGGGGAGCTTTCCTGTGGAGGCTGTTTTTGAAGGCCAGAGGTCTTGGTCGAACAGAGAGAACACAAAGTAGGGAACTTGCTGAGCCTGTTAGGACCCACGAATTGGCTTTGACTGCCCTGCAGTGCAGAAGTTCTTCCACCCACTGGTCTGCGACCAGTGCCTGGCTGGTAGCCCTGAAAAGAACAGCAGATTCATGGATGTGGACAGGCACCTGTGAATGAGTACAAATTCAAGAAAAATGTGTTCACTTGCATGTGCC